ATTTGGTAACTCTGATTATTGCTGACTTAGGCATCGGAGTGTCTACCCCGAGGACCCACCTCGGGGCTTTGCAGGTCTACCGAAGTGAGCAAACAGGATCCCGAAGTACCCAAGCACTTTTGCAACTACATTAAACAGGATCCCGAAGTACCCAAGCACTTTTGCAACTACATTGGCGCCGTCTGTGGGAAACCGAGCTAAAAGCCTTAATTAGCGATTGTCGCAATGGTGAACACACGCTCAGCACAACACGGAAGCCCTCAACAAGGGCGTGGCAAAGGTCAACTTCCCAGTGGGAACCCCGCATCTTATACCGCCCCACCCCCTACAATCCAACCTCAGCATATAGAGGGAACTGGGGAGAACAACCCAAATTCAACAGAAAACCTAAACCCCATAGCCGCCCAACTCAATGTCATGCAGCAGCAGTTCGGCGTGTTTCAACTTGTGCTCGCGCAACTGTTAGCCAGGGATAATCCAGGCGACCCCCTCATTGCCCTACTCAATCCCACCAACCAAATGCCTACCCAATAGCCTCAACACAACGTGACCTCACCAGCCCGAACTGCCACTCTACCTCGCAACGACTCTCCAGCCCACTCACACATGGCACCTCTACCTTAGCCACCACCTCAGCCGGCCGCCTCAGACCTTCCCAGGGGGAACTTCGAAAAAATGCTACCCGAGAACCGAACTCCACAAACTCCGGCCCTCCCGAGTTCAGCCCCAATCCCCACCCCCCTCAATCCCAACATTCTCCAAGAGCCGTACCCGTCAGGGTTCCGAATGCCACAGCTCGAAACATACGATGGCACTAAAGACCCCGATGACCACTTGCATGCCTTTTGCTCCATTATGCAGGCTCAGAACGCCTCAGATGCCTTGATATGCAAGATATTCCCTTCTACATTGCGAGGAAACGCTCGGACCTGGTATTATAGCTTGCAGCCGAGCTCGATCAGTTCCTATGCCGAACTGGCCGCGTTCTTCGCAACCAAGTTCTCCAGTCGTCGGTTAATTAAGAAGACGACCTCCGAGCTCATGCGAGTGGCCCAGAGGGAAGGCGAATCCCTTAAAAATTATATGAATAGATTCAATGACGCAGTGCTCGAGATCAGCTCTTTCAATCATGGTGTGGGGTTAGCTGCATTGATTGCAGGCCTCAAGCATGACAGATTCCGGGATAGCCTGATCAAGCATGCACCTACCACCTTTGATGAGGCCAACGAACGATCATGGAAATTCATTCAAGCGGAGGAATATGCGTTGTCCGGCAAAGCAACTCCGAGTAAAGAGGTCAGACCTCCGGCCTGGAGAGAAGAAGGGCAGAATAAAAAGAGATTTAAACCTGCACAGAATCGAGGCCCATTCCCGCCCAGGATAGACAGACCCCCAACTGTAACTCAACCTATGTCTAAGCAAATCACCTGGACTCCATTTATACTGCCGAGGTCGTAGATTTTAATGCAAATCAAAAACAAAATGGAGCTCAGAAGGCCCCTGCCTATGCGGAGTCCCCCTACCACCCGAGATCATAGCAAGTACTGCGACTTCCACCAGGACCACGGCCATACTACGGAAGAATGTCAAAGCCTAAAGTCAGAACTGGAGGGTTTAGCGCGGAAAGGCATGCTCAATGAATACGTCTCTAAAGGGGATCAGCCTAGATTCATTCGGGAACAAGGACGGCCTCAGGCACCTCGGGAGGCAAGCAACAGGGTCGGCGTTGGCTACCAACAAGCGCCACCTCCACTCCCCCCACCCTCACGTATCATTCATATGATCACAGAGGGGTTAGAAGCTGGCGGAATGAGCTCAAAGCAGCAGAAGTTGTATGTTCGGGAAGTCAAACATCAGAACCGGGTTCAGAAGAGAAAATTCGATGAGACAGATTGGAGGAACCAGCCCATAACTTTCAGCGCAGTTGACTTTGACGGTGTTATTACCCCCCACAATGATCCACTTGTCACCTCGGTCATTGTTAACAGCTGTGAAGTCCACCGCGTCCTTGTTGACACAGGAAGCGCTCCGGACATAATGTACTATCATTGTTTCGAGAGCCTAGGTCTTGACCCAGCTCTCCTACAGAAATACGACGGTCCTATCTATGGCTTCAACAATCAACCAGTCCCCGTGGAAGGTGTCCTCACGCTCAAGGTAGCCTTCGGTTCAGGTCGGACATATGTTACTCCGTCAGTTCGGTTTTTGGTCGTAAAGATGGCATCCTCTTTCAACATCGTCATTGGAAGGCCAACCTTGACAGAAATCCGAGCTGTCGTTTCGCAGTCCCACCTATGCATGAAATTCCCCACCCCTATGGGAGTAGCAACTCTGAGAGGTAATCAAGAAGTAGCTCGGCATTGCTATATGACCTCGGTCACTTTACCTCGGAGGGATAAGCTAGTAACGCCAGCTCCAATTCAGGCAGAGATACCATCCGCCCAGCAGGTAATGGGTATAGAGCTGCCAGACTATAGACCTGATGACGACGCCAGAGCAACCCCAGTAGAAGAGGTGGAAGAAATACAGCTTGACCCCAATGACCCTACCAGAAAAACACAGATTGGCACTAAACTCAAGCCGGAAGAGAGGGAAGAACTCATTGATTTCCTGAAGTCGAACAGGGACGTCTTCGCCTGGACCTCGGCCGACATGCCTGGCATACCAGCCTCGGTTGCAGTCCACAAGCTCGGCACTAACCCTTTAAAAAAACCTGTAACACAGAAAAGGCGTCTGTCCGGGGGAGAGAGGCTACAAGCAATCAAGGAATAAGTGCGGAAGCTCTTACAAGCAGGCTTTATCTGGAAATGAAAGACTTAGCCTTTTGGATGCTTACTCAGGATATCACCAGGTCCACATGGCACCCGAAGACGAAGTCAAGACCTCCTTCTACGCCGGAGACGAGATTTATTGTTATGTGATAATGCCATTTGGGCTAAAAAATGCAGGAGCCACATACCAAAAAATGGTGACTATTGTATTCCGAGCTCAGATCGGCAGGAACTTGGAAGTCTACATTGATGACATAGTGGTCAAGAGCCGCAAAGCAGAAGATCACCTGACTGACCTGGGGGAGACATTTAATAATTTAAGAAGGCACAGTCTGAAGTTGAATCCAGCCAAGTGCGTCTTCGGAGTTGAATCTAGAAAATTCTTGGGGTTCCTAGTTTCTAGAAGGGGGATAGAGGTCAATCCCGAAAAAATAAAGGCGATAGAAGAGATGAAACCGCCGAAGTCAATCAAAGATGTACAGCGCCTAACTGGGCGAGTGGCAGCCCTGCACAGGTTCATCTCCAAATCGGCTGATAGATGTCTGCCTTTCTTCAAAATCCTCAGATCTACAACTCAGAAAGGCGAAGCCGGGAAACCCAGAAAGTTTGAGTGGACTCCGGAGTGCCAAACCTCTTTCGAAGAGCTCAAGGCATACCTCAGCTCACCCCCCTATTAACCAAAGCCGAAGAAGGGGAGACACTTTACCTCTACCTCGGAATCTCAGATACAGCACTCAGCTCGGTTTTGGTCAGGGAAACAGCACAGTTGCAGAGGCCAGTCTATTACGCAAGCAAAGTGCTGCAGGGGGCCGAATTGAGGTACTCCACGGCAGAAAAAGCAGCTCTTGCGGTCGTCACTACAGCCAGGAAGTTAAGGCCGTACTTCCAAGCCCATCCCATTGTTGTTCTGACTGACCTGCCCCTGAGACAGATTTTGCAGAAACCAGAATGTTTAGGCAGACTCATCAAGTGGGCAGTAGAGTTGGGAGAGTTCCAGATCACCTTTCAGCAGAGGTCATCAGTCCGAGGTCAGGCTCTAGCAGATTTTGTAGTTGAATGTACCTCTGACCAGAAAAACGTTGACACTGAAGTCGAACAGTGGACTCTTTATGTGGATGGTGCGTCCAACAGCAAAGGGGCAGGAGCCGGCGCGGTACTAATTGGACCAGAACACTTCCGAAGTGAGCATGCTCTGAAGTTCAACTTCGAAGCAACCAACAACATGGCCGAATATGAGGCCCTTTTGCTCGGACTTCGTCTTGCGGCCGAACTGAAAGTCACATCTCTCCAGGTCTACAGCGACTCCCAGCTGGTGGTCAATCAAGTAAATTCCCTTTGCGAAGTAGCAGACCCAATTTTAGCCAAATACCTAGCCCTCGTCTCTAAGCTGAAGTGCCAATTTGAACAATTCAGGCTCACAAAAGTTCCGAGGTCAGAAAATGAACATGCAGATTCTCTATCACGGCTGGCCTCCGACACCTCCCGGGGGGGGGAGATCTGTTTACGTTGAAGTCCTAAACGCACCAAGCTTCCAGAAGACAGAAGTATTGGAGGTCAGTACTGACCCCGAAACTCCGAGCTGGACTGACCCCATCAAAGCCTACCTACAAGATGGAACTGTCCCAACCGATAAGCAAGAGGAGCTGAAGCTACGAAGAAAAGCGTCAAGATACACCTTGCTTGATGGCATCCTGTATAAAAGGTCCTACTCACTCCCCCTTCTCCGCTGTTTAACCCCCTATGAGGCCGAGTATGCTCTCCGCGAAGTACACGAGGGTGTATGTGGAAGCCATGTCGGAGCTCGGACTTTGGCTCATAAGGTGCTTCGTCAAGGGTACTACTGGCCCAACATGCAGGAGGATGCCGCGCAGTTTGTGCAGAAGTGCCAGAAGTGTCAATTCTTTGCACACCTGACCCACCAGCCAACAGAAGAACTCAGAAACTTGGTGGCACCATGGCCTTTTGCCCAATGGGGGCTTGATCTGCTCGGTCCTTTTGTCAAAGGTGTGGGGGGAGTAACACATTTGGTTGTGGCGGTCGACTACTTCACAAAATGGGTCGAAGCACGACCCCTGTCCAGTCTGACCTCAAGAAGGATTGAAGATTTTGTCTTCAGTGCAATCATCTGCCGATACGGCATACCGAATCAAATTGTCACTGACAATGGGCCTGAATTCAATTGCACCTCCTTCAGGGATTGCTGCTCCAGCTATGGAATTAAATTACTATTCACTTCGGTTTATCACCCTGAGACTAATGGAATGGTCGAATCAGTGAACAAAGCTATTCTAGAAGGGATTAAGCCGAGGCTGGACCAGCTCAAAACCAAATAGGCAGACGAGCTCAACAACGTCTTGTGGGCCTACCAAACTACAACCAGGACGGCTACAGGTTTGCTAATGACCTCTAGCCACTCACCCGAAGTCGTAGAACTTACTTTTTTAGCAATTTCGTAAACCACAACTCTTTTTAATGAACTAGGCGAAACGCCCTATCATCTGGCTTTTGGAACGGAGGCAGTCATTCCGGTTGAACTTGGCGTCCCGAGCCTAAGGGTTAGCCATTTCGACTCAACCCGAAATGACCTACTACTCCGGGAAGACCTTGACCTCTTGGACGAAGTCTGTGAGCACGCTCGACTCCGGACAATGGCATATAAACAGAAGATCGCCAACTTTTATAACAAACGAGTTCGACCTCGAAGCTTCAAGATTGGTGACCTCGTCCTCAGAAAGGCAGGGCTCACCGGCTTCGAGACCCGCTTCGGCAAGCTAGCACCGAACTGGGAAGGCCCGTATGTAGTGGCCGAAGTACCCCACCCCGGCGCTTATGTACTTCAAGACGCCGAGGGTAAAAGGATCCCTAGAGTATGGAATGTAAACAATTTAAAGAAATTCTACTCTTAATAAAGCTCATTCTTGTTCAGCCTAAGCGTTGCATTTTTCGAAGTCCAAATGCACTTCTTTTTACCTTGCAACAAATCATTCATTTTAAATCCGAACTCGAAGTTCATTACATTCATTTTAAATCCGAACTCGAAGTTCATTACGTTCATTTTATATCCGAAGTCGAAGTTCATTACGTTCTTTTTATTTTTCGAAGTCGAAGTCCGGACTTCACTTCAACCACAATCATGGCCTTAAACGTATTACGAACTACGAACTCATGCACCCATACACAACATTGAAATATAATACTCTTTTCATTAATTGTGCTCAACACAGTACATTGTCATTACAAAAAAAAAAAAAAAAAAAAAGGGAATAGGCCGAAGTCAGTCGATCACCACGTGCTGCTGATCCACCTCTTGCTCAACCGCATTCTCTCCGACCTCGGCAGTTGCAGGAGCCTCGGTCTCTTCGTCCACGTCGACAAACTCGTACTCGAGACGTGGGGGGAGCACAGTTCTTCCAGCTTCTTCCCGCTCCCAGCTAAGGGTTATGTCCGGCCGGAACTCAGCTGTTCTGCTCTCCCCATCCTCTTCCACTCCAGCCTCCTCTGGTCCAAAAGTGACTTTCGTCACATCGACCTCAGGGTTCTGGGCCTTCACCTTCTTCCGGCAATCATTGAATGCCATCACCAGTGTAGGCATGCGGAAGAGGTCCACAATCTCTGAAAACGTCTCCGAATTGACGAACTCAGAGACATGCTTCTCAACCGAGTTGTGCACCTCCAGCTCGGTCCTCTTCTGCACCTCGGCCAATTCCCTTTGCGCCTTAGCCAGCTCTTCCTCGGCTCTTCTCCTCTTCTCCACCTCAGCATCGGCGGCTGCCTTGGCAGAAACCAACTCCTCCCTGACTTTCTCGAGCTCCGAAGTCAAGTCATTGAAGTTCTGCTCAACCGACTGCTTCTGCAGGTTGAGCTCGTCATATTTGTCGACGAGGTTATTCCTCTCCTTGAGGCAGTCGTAGTACTCAGCGGCCAAGGCATTGATGAGATTCACCGTCTGCACAAGAACCCAATGTTAAAACACAAGTAAATAAATCAAAAATAAAATCCTACAGTTCAAGTTCCCACCTCGAGCGCATGGCGCACTACTCCTGAGCCCCCATGCTCCTCGACCTCATGTCGGGCTCTGTTGAGATCCACTTCAGGAAAAGTGGACCTGATGAAGCGCTTGGCAGCCGTCTTGCTTGTACTTTCGTAAAAGCTTGACTTCTGCCTAGGAATAGGGGACTCCTTCCCCTTCCCATGCCCCACCATCCCCACTTCGCGTAGAGCAGGGTCAATCTGCACCGGCGGGGGTCGAGGTACGAACTCGATGAGCGCGTCGGTTTGGGGATGCTGCACCTCCTCCACCCTCTTCCTCTTCTGGGCTGCAGCCTCCTCAGCCCTCTTCCTCCCCTGATCTGAGCTAGGGCCCACCTCAGCTCGGGCGCTCCCCTCCGGGCGAGACCTCGAAGTCCCACCAAGCACCCTCTCCCCCACGGAGGGTGCGGCTGGAGTCTTCAACCTCTTCTCCGGCAGTGCTACCGTCTTCCTCTTGGACATCAGCCGGTTCATCTCTTCCGCAAAATAGAAAACAGAGGTCAGTTAACTATCTATTTTAAGCGCGCCTGAAAATAGCTAACCGACCTCCAGTCATAGAGCTCGGCCCATAGATTTCTGCCGCCTCTAACATTGCTGGACTGCTGAAATGCATGATGTCCATTACGTCCCCACCTCTCCTCTCCAACCTCTCCACCTCTTCCTGCTCTCCCGAGCTCAGCGAATACTGATTTGGATTCGACCTCTTCCTCTTCCACCTGCTGAGCTCCGTTACCTCCATCTCCAATTTCTCCCACTTCGTGTCATCCACGAAGAAAAACTTATCCTTCCACCCCTTTATAGATGAAGGACCTGCACTGAACAGGTTCCTTCCTCCTCCTCCAGCCACCTGGGGTGTGAAATAAAACCACCCCCACTCCCTCTTACTTCCCCCCTTTATCAAGAAAAAATACTTAAAAATATTTACCGTGGGGATTACACCTCGAGTTCGGCAATATACTAAAAACCCTAGGATAAGCCGAACTGTGTTTGGGACGAGCTGCGTCAACCCCAGCCCGTACTCCAGCAGCAGCGCCACTAGCAGCTCGGGCACTGGAAACCTAAGCCCGGCTGTTAAGTAGTGTCCGTACACCGGCATCCAATGATCCCTTGGCGCCGAGCACGCCCTTTCCCTCTCCCCAGCCGGCCTAAGCAGAACGTGCCCCGGAATGGCATACTGTTCTACTAGGTGGGTGAGGTCACTCCTCTTCTTCCACGTACTCTCGTACCCCGCCACCTCTTCCACCACCTCCTCGTCCTCATTATAGAACTTAGCCCTATCCGGATCTACCTCTAATACATTAGGCGGAATCCCCACCTCTACCATTTCACCTCCAACCCCCCCACTTCTCTCGCTCCTTGAGCTCTCCACTTCATCCCCGTTGGTCAAGCTCAGTCCTTGCTCCCCCTCGCTACCTCCAACACTTAGTGTCTCTTCTGACGACATCTTTCGTGACTCACTACAAGTTGGATGAGAACAGTTAACTTCCTACTTTGATCCCACACCTACCCCTAACGTTCTCTACTGGACTTTAGATCTAAAATCAGTTATACTAAATTCCGAAATCAGAAGTCAAGCTTCAAGAATTACCTGATCTTTCAACGACCGAAGTAAAACACTTAGAAATTTTATGGGATACCGCGAACTCAAACGACGAGATGATCTCGTTTCACTTCAGCAGCGCTTCGCTATAAAATCAGCAAGGTAAATTCTGAATAGCTCAGCCCTGGCTATTTATACTGAAGCTTCCTTGCCTATCAACAGTCACGATCGTCCACATCCAACGGTAACAAACGCGACCTTTCGAATTCGGCAGTTATTTCTGACTCTGCCATTTATTGCAGCGCGTCACCCGAGAACAGCTGTCGCCCCCCAAAGTAATTTTTAAATATTACTGTTTTCCCTCCGGTTTCATTTCAAAACCGGTCCAAATTTAACTAAACCACGTTTATCACTTCTCACGGCCGCATCACATGACCACGTGTCATGATCTTTACTTCGGCCACGGCCGTATCACACGACCACGTGTCATAATCTTTACTTCGGCCACGGCCGCATCACATGACCACGTGTCATCATCTTTACTCCGGCCGCGGCCGCACTGCACACCATACCCAACTTAACCCTCTTCATCATTCACAAGTGAATGACTTCGGGGGGGGAATAGTGTAGTGGTAGTAGTTCGAAGTCACAGTCCGGTCTCACTTAGCCCGAGGTCAAATACCTTTAGCACCCGGACCACTTCCAATCTCGTCACCTCGGCAACGAGGAATAACGAGCGCGTCCAAGCTCGAGCTCATCCCCCTTGATCCTACTCTACAGTAACTCCGTACGTGCAGGAATACTGTAAGGAAATCTTATGGGATCATCGACACATATAGCCCTGATTTCTCGTGAAGAACAACACGTGGATGCCCCTTTTGAAGGCTATAAATACCCCCCGAGGGTCCTCCCTAAAGGTAATTGGAAAAACCGAA